GTGTGTGTGTGTGTGTGTGTGTGTGTGTGTGTGTGTGTGTGTGTGTATTTCATTCATGGACTTTCTAAGCAGTGGTCGTGTTTTCATGTGATGGTTATTGATTGGTTTCTTGTTTCCCTTCATTTTGTTTTTTAGGAATCCAGAGAGGAAAGGTTAGGTTAGGTTTAGCCTGGGCTACACGCAACTCTTTCCTCTGTCCTCGCAGGACCATTACACTTGTATGAATCAGGAGAGTGGGAGGGATTCAGAGGAGACTCTCCCCAGACCTACTCATTCCCAAAGACTGACTATTTGGTGGTAAGACTTAAGGTTGCCCAAAATGCATTGCTAGTATTATAAAGCTTAGCTTGAGACAGGGTCTTACTCTATCACCTGGGCTGGAGTGCAGTGGCTCACTGTAACCGCAGACTCCTGGGCTCAAGAAATCCTCCTGCCTCAGCCTCCTGAGTAGTTAGAGCTACAGGTACACACCACCATGTCCATTTTTAAATATTTTTGTAGAGACAGAGGTCTCACCATATAGTCCATGCTGGTCTGTTGAACTTCTGGCCTTACGTGATCCTCCTGCCTTACCCTCCAAAAACCCTGGGATTACAGGTGTGAGCTACCATGCCTGGCCCTGCCTTTGTGTCTTGCTACGCTCTGTACATCTATCCCTGGCCATGGAAATGCCAAAACCAGATAAGATAGTATGACTGAATCAGTGTAAACCTATCACTGCTGCTAGAAAAATAGCTTAAATCCAGTATTTTGCTAGTAGTGGTTTGACAGCGCCTCGAAATCATTCCTCCATTCACCTCTGTCCCCATATCTAATATCTATGTCCTGCTCATTTTACCTTTTCAAATTTCTTCCATTCATTTTCTCCTTAACCTGTGCCCTAATTCAGGCCTACATCTGATTACTGCATCAGTTTCCTGACCTTTCATTTTCCAGTTACATGCTTTTCTAGTAGATTGGCATTCATAAATCTTAAATAGCAATCTGACCATGTCATCCTTAGCCTTAAAACCCTTCATCTATCCCTCCAGTGACTTTCTTTGCCTATGGAATAAAGCTTAAGCTTCTTAACAGGACATGCTAGGTGCTCAGTGATCTGATCCGTGCCTTCTTTTGCAGCCTATTTCTTTTCTCTCCCTTGTATTTTGTGTTTTAGGAATAGGAAATGTTTCCAGTTATGCACACATCCACATCCCTTCTGTTTCTTGCTTACTACCTTTGCAATATATTGTTTTCTACCTGGAATGCCCGCTCCCTCTTGTACACCTCTTCTCTTTCTTACCTGGTGAATCCCTACTCACCTCAAGGGCACCCGCCTTCAACAAGCCCTCCTCTGACATTCCAGTTAAGGTGAAGTACCTCTTCAGTATTCTCATAATACTCTTTGTAAATCTCTAACATTAATATTTATGCCTTGTTTCTTAATTGTTTATCTGTTGATGTTAGACACTGGTATCTTTATATACTTGACATTTGGAGTGCCCAGCACATAATAGGCACTCAAAAAATATTGGATGAGTGACCATGAAGTATAAATTTTGTAGATTAGAGGTTTAACTTGACTTTTTTTTGGATTTGAACAATGTAACCAAGACTAGAATACCTTTTAAAACAGGGATTCTCAACCAGGGATATGCGCTTTAGAGAGCGTTTTCAAAATGGGCCTGCTCAGGCCCAACCTCTTATCTACTGAGTGAGACTTTGGGAGGTGAGCTCTAGGCATGTGTATTCTATATCTCTCTGCGTGTGTGTGTGTGTGTGTGTGTGTGAGTGTGTGAAGTGTATAAATTAATTAGAGACAGGACCTTGCTCCATTGCCCAGGCTGGAGTGCAGTGGCATGATCATAGTCCACTGTAACACTCCTGGGCTTAAGTGATCCTCCCACCTCAGCCTCCTGAGTAGCTAGGAATACAGGTATGTACCATGCCTAGCCTAAATTTTTAAATTTTTTATAGGCTCTCTATTGCCTAGGCTGGCCTCCTGAGATCCTCCCACCTTGACCTCCCACAGGCCTAGGATCACAGGTGTTAGCCACTATGTTTAGCCCAATATATATTTTTATAGATGGTCTTCAAGAAATAAATACTCATATATGTGATGGGAGTGCTAAACAGCACAATCCCTATGGAGAAGAAACTGGCAGTGTCTACCAAAATTACAGTTGCATTTTACTTTTTCACCAAGTAGTGTCTCTTTTAGAAATCTATTCTGCAGATAGATTGAACTCCAAGTAAGCAGAGTTATTAATTGAAACATTGCACGCAATAGCAAAAGATTGGAAACAGCCAGTGTCCAGCATTTAAGGAGTGTTTGAAGAAACTGACACATTTACATTATGGAACATTATGATGTAGTAAAAAGAGAGAGAGATTCTCATGTGCCAATGAGAGATTGAGAAAAAAAAGCAAGGTGTTAAAAAGAACATGTTTGAAAAACTCATGATAAATATTCAGGCTAGGAAGCCAGCTGCTATTTATTTAATTTAATTGGGAGAATCCATTCTTTATCTATAGATTCATGGTGCCTTAGAAATCTGACATTAGAGTCTTTGGTAGTGCTTTTACTGGCAAAAAGAAGTATATTAAGACAGAATCTCTTATGCTATATAAATTTCAGGTGAAAGGCAGAAATTTCTTATATAGTTATTAATAAAATATATTTCTAGTAGTGTAGTAGAAAAAAACTAGCATTTTCAAAGTACTGTCTTTTTCTGAGTTTTAGATTTCTGGAGGGAGTACCTACTGTATAGTGCTTATTATCAGTTATAGTGTGTAGGTTTCTGCTTCCTGGGAGGTCTGTTATAAACAAATGTCATTAGGGACCTAGCTAGGTTTTCTTCATTAGTGGGAAAGCATTGGCAAACAAATCCATTTCTGTTAAGTCTCCAGGGGTTAAAACCATTTATGACTCTTTCATACATAAGGCTCTTTTTAGACTTCAACATCAGAACTGTTGGACAGCTCAGAAGGATCTATACCCTAATAAGCTTTTCAAGTTCTTGATGGAGAGACACATAGAATATAGGCGTTTCTGTACATTAAGCCTACTCAGAAAATAAAAAGAACTTGCATTACTGCCCAATTTGTTATGCCCCTGTATTAGTTTGTTTTCACACTGCTGATAAAGACATACCTGAGACTGGGAAGAAAAAGAGATTTGGTTGGACTTAGAATTGCATATGGCTGGGGACGCCTCAGAATCATGGTGGGAAGTGAAAGGCACTACTTACATGGCGGTGGCAAGAGGAAAAATGAGGAAGATGTAAAAGCAGAAACCCCTGATAAACCCATCAAATCTTGTGAGACTTATTCACTACCATGAGAAAAGTATGGGGGAAACTGCCCCATGATTCAAATTATCTCCCACCATGCCCCTCCCACAACACATGAGAATTATGGGAGTACAGTTCATGATGAGATTTGGGTGGGGACACAGAGCCAAACCATATCGTTCCACCTCTGGCTTCTCCAAATCTCATGTTCTCATATTTCAAAACCAATTATGCCCTCCAAACAGTCCCCCAAAGTCCTAACTCATTTCAGCGTTAACCCAAAAGTCTCCAGTCCAAAATCTCATCTAGATTTCAGAAGATGTACAGAAATGCCTGGATGCCCAGGCAAAAGTATGCTGCCGGGGCAGGGCCCTCATGGAGAACCTCTGCTAGGGCAGTGTGGAAGGGAAATGTGGGTTCAGATTCCCAACACAGAGTCCCTACTGGGGCACCACCTAGTGGCAAGTTCCTTCCACCTATGAACCTGTAAAATCAAAAGCAAACTTCCTAGATATGGGAGAAGTTGGCCAAAATAGAGGGGTTCTAGGGCCCATGTGAGTCTGAAATCCATCAGGGCAGTAAAATTCTAAAGCTCCAAAATGATCTCCTTTGACTCCATGTCTCACATCCAGGTCATGCTGATGCAAGAGGTAGGTTCTCATAGTCTTGGGCAGCTCCACACCTGTGGTTTGCAGGGTATAGCTTCCTTCCTGGCTGCTTTCACAGGCTAATGTTCAGTGTCTGTGGCTCTTCCAGGTGCACCGTGCAAGCCGTCAGTGGATCTAACATTTTGGAGTCTGGAGGATGGTGGCCGTCTTCACACAACTCCACTAGGTGGTGCCCCAGTAGGGACTCTGTGTAGGGGATCTGAACCCACATTTCCCTTCCACACTGCCCTAGCAGAGGTTCTCCATGAGGGCTCTGCCCTGGCAGCATACTTTTGCCTCGGCATCCAGGCGTTTCCGTACATCTTCTGAAATCTAGGTGGAGGTTCCTAAACCTCAATTCTTTACTTCTGTGCACCACAGGCTCAATACCATGTGGAAGCTGCCACGGTTTGGGCCTTGCACCCTCTGAAATTATGGGCTAAGCTGTACCATGGCCCCTTTTAGCAATGGCTGGAGCATCTGGGACTCAGGGCACCAAGTCCCTAGGCTGCACACAGCTTTGGGACCCTGGGCCCAGCCCATGAAACCATATTTTCCTCCTAGGTTAAGGGGTCTGTGATGGGATGGGCTACATGAAGAACTACGACATGCCCTGGAGACGTTTTCCCCTGTTGTCTTGGGGTTTCACATTTGGTTCCTCATTACTTCTGCAGCCAGCTTGAATTTCTCCTCAGAAAATGAGTTTTTCTTTTCTACTGCATCATCAGGCTGCAAATTTTCTGAACTTTTGTGCTCTGTTTCCCTTTTAAAATGGAATGCTTTTAACAGCAGCCAAGTCACCTCTTGAATGCTTTGCTGCTTAGAAATTTCTTCTGCCAGATACCCTAAGTCATCTCTCTAAAGTTCAAAGTTCCACAGATCTCTAGGACAGGGGCAAAATGCCACCAGTCTCTTTGCTAAAACATAACAAGAGTCACCTTTGCTCCAGTTCCCAACAAGTTTCTCATCTCCATCTGAGAGCACCTCAGCCTGGACCTTATTGTTCATGTCACTA